AATAAATGGTTGGGCACGTTTCCTATCTCGGCCTGGGATTGAACCCACTATTCCTGATTGTGAGTCGAGAACGAAGCCAACTGTATTGGAAGACCCTCTGTTGTAATCACATAGCATCACTAGGTGTGATGACAGGAAATGTGTGAATACTGTCCAGTCGACTCTTGATTTTTTTTTTTTTTAGGCTACTGGGGGTGCTTGTCAATGGTAGGGTACAAATAGCCTAACCTAAGATCTGAGAGCAGTGTTAAGAGAATGGGTTGATAGCGTTGGCAAGGCAAATTGCCACTGGTCATCCGCCATCGTCACCCTGAGTGTCTGCCCAGCAGCCTTCATTTGTAATTTGCTGGTAATTTGTTACTTTTAATTGAATTGTTGATGTATATTAAACAGTGTATACATTTTAGTAGTTATATATAAACGGTTTAAGTGGTATAATTTCAACGATGTAATAACATGTTATTAGCTCTTGCTAATATACTGAAGTTGGATCGAATTTTGTTCCCAAGGCATGTGTAGAGCAGTGACATTAATTAATTAATGATACATTAACATTAATTTGATATTTTCTCAAGAAAATTTGCCTCCTTGGCAAAGCGTTTCTGTTGAGCTCCCATGACCTTTATGATCAGTTCCCATGAGCGAACTTTGTGATCAGTTTGCTCCCAGCTTGAGTATGTAACACTCTCTTGGACGCCCTGACCCAGCATCATGTCCAAATTCTGGACAAAAGTAGAAAACGTGCAAGAAGACCTGGACACTAGTCTTTACCTGTTCTAGTTGGACACATCAATACATCATAGCCTTCAACATTTGGGAGATCTTGGTGACCTTATTCTTCGGTATTAGGCCAATGTTCTTTAGAGGCCCACCTGGCCCAACTTCGTGAACAAGCAGAAGTTGGCAACCACAACTCAAGGCCCTCAACAGCCTCACTCTGTCTTTCTCAAGAACATCATTCCATCAGCGATCATTCATTCCTATTCTCACTCGAATTTGGAGCATGTTCGCTAGGTGTAGATCAAGTCAACCTACTATATAAAGGCACTGGCACACAGTTGGCTCGAGTTTCACCCCGTTACAAACATTACAATTAAGCACTAAATAAAGTTTATTAATTAATAATAAAAACAAATATGTTCATCAAATGAGTTTCTAGGGTCAGTCTTCAGATGAGCTGATGTAGGATAACGGCTCTTAGCTTGCAGTTTTATTAGGAATATCAAATGACATTCCTTATGAACCCTAGTGTTAGTTTGATAGAGAGAAAGGGGAAGCAGAGACAGACACACGATAGCGACATAAAATTCTTAGGGGGATTGATTGGGTGGAAATAGAGGAAATATTCTTAATTGTTACCAGTAGAGCAAGTAGGCATGGGTGGAAGCTTGAGATAAAGCGAGTCATGGAAATGTTGGAAAATATTTTGTTAACGTAAGATTATTAGGAAAATATAATCAACTTTATGAGAAAGTAGTGGAAGCTAATTCCATTCTTAATTTCAAGTGTCGATTATGAAAGATAGGTTGGAAGTCATTGCATTACACAACTGGCGGATGTAAAGGCAGAGTCCAAGAGCTGAATATCAAACCCCTAGACATAATTTTTGGCATTCACGCACGCACGTACGTACATGTGCTTACGGGCAAACACTTGAGAAAGTGGGAGAAAGGGGAGGTAGTAAATGCCTCCTTTTTTTTCCTATGCCAAGGTCTCCCACGCTTCCTATCTCGACTTTTATTACTTATTTTGAGAGCAGGTAATTGTGGAGACATGTGAACCAATAAGCGTTCCCGGCGGTGAGGTGTGTTGAATGTGACTGAAGCAAAGTTGTATGTTGGGAGTTTCATCACGATGAATATGAACGACGACTTAATAATGGTCCAGGACGGACCGAAACGTTGTCGTCCCTTCACTTTCTAGTGTGTAGTCTGGTCAACTTGCCTCACCACCCTCTATTCTCTCGGGTACGGGGAAAGTTACCTCATTTGCCTTGCTCTTAACAGCCTACGAGAGTGGAAGGTGGGGGTTGGGGCGGGGGCGTGCTATTCAAGGGGACGTTATGACGGAAGGCGCGTGGGCTTCGTGAAGCCTATCTATCAAAGAGCCCCTTGCAGGAATTTATTTCTGGTCCAGATGAGGCTTGAGAAAGTTTTCAGTTTTAAAAGTTTTGCTCGACATAATGAAACTCGGCAAAGACAAGTTTAATATACAGATTTTTTCAGTATTAATATTGTAGCAATTTCCACAACCCCTCCTGTACATTTTGTGGCGAGACATTCAGTAATTTAATACTATTAATAATTATTATATATATTGGCTAATAAATTATTGTGTAACTAGGTGAGGTTTAATGATTATTTGATATCGACAGGCATTTGTTTGTGTGTATGTACGTGGGCAGGTGCGCGCGCGTTTGCGTGCTTGCATGCATTAGTGGTGAACTATACAATGATAGCCTGTGTACAGATGTGTTGTTGGAGAAGTATTAGCAATTAAAGAAGCCTTACAGGCGCTCACTGCCTTCAGTCCAGGGAAGACACACCTTTATGGGGCATGTCCTGTATATGGCGGTGTTTGAACAGTTGTAATTTGTTGAGTGTAGCTCATTTGTTGACCAAACCACACACTAGAAAGTGAAGGGACGACGACGTTTCGGTCCGTCCTGGATCATTCTCAAGTCGATGAATTTATTATGCATCCCATGTCCATCATGCAGGTATCAGTGGACAAGTTTTGAGGTACATAATGAATTGAGGAACTGAACGCCAGTTTTCGCTAAACTGACCAAGTTACAGCATTGATGAACTAGGTACAAAAGTTTAACAAAATACAAAGTTCGTTACATTATTAATTTGCCAGACGTTTGTTTAAGAGGTTACAAGGGACTAACGTTACGGTACACGGTTATTTGTTATATAATTCTCTAAATTCTTGTTCTTCAGTCAATTATATAGTGACTTAAGGCATGCGAATTCCTTTGCTGGCAAAATTTAGTTGGTCAGATCTCTCGCAGCAGGTACTCGCCTAGTTGTGCTTGCAGGGGTTGAGCTTTGGCTCTTTGGTCCCGCCTCTCAACTGTCAATGAACAGTTCACCTCTCAAGGTGGTGAAAACTCCCAGTGGCAGTTGTCGCCAAGCTTAAGCCTAGTTAGTTCAGTAAGCCTAGCCGTTAGAATTATTGTAAATGTTTGTTATTAATCCTATTTTTATTATTATTTATCGTTATTATTAATCGCTATTATTATCATTATTAGTTATCGCTATTATTATTATTATTATTAGTTATAGCTGTTATTAGTTATAGCTGTTATTAGTTATCGCTGTTATTAGTTATCGCTGTTATTAGTTATCGCTGTTATTAGTTATCGCTATTATTGTTGGACCGACCGACCGCTTGCCAGATCGACCGAATTCTGAATGTCGAACTGACCGACCTCTTGTCTTTTGAATGTCAGATTGCCCGCCAGTCTGTCTGTATAACCTTGTCCACCCACTATTCCATCTGAAAGACAGTAGCCAGTAGGGGGCTGGACCATCCGTGTCAATTCTAGTTTCTTCCCCCTTGAACACACACGTGTGTTATTAAATTAAATTTTGAGAAAGTAGCATAGACCGGATACTGGGAGCGGGGCTTGAAGAAGATGCTTGAGTGCATGAGAGTCTTAAATGAGGGCATTAGAGCTCAGTCCTGAATGAGTGCCTCTTGAATCCCGCACTGTGTGGTTCAGCAACAAGTGAGTTTACCTATGAACCTTTAACTGTCTTAAATTTAGTTCATTATCATACACCCCAAGCCCATCCTGTGGGCGGTAATGGAAAGGGTTATAGAGGCACATAATGGACTCAGGGACTGAACCCCAAAATTTATCTAGCTAAGCACTTTAGTTTTGATGAGGAAATTACAAAATTCGATACATCGTCATTGAACAAATGACGATGTGTATATATATATATATATATATATATATATATATATATATATATATATATATATATATATATATATATATATATATATATATGTCGTACCTAGTAGCCAGAACTCACTTCTCAGCCTACTATTCAAGGCCCGATTTGCCTGATAAGCCAAGTTTTCCTGAATTAATATATTTACTATAATTTTTTTCTCATGAAATGATAAAGCAACCCTTTTCTCTATGTATGAGGTCAATTTTTTTTTATTGGAGTTAAAATTAACGTAGATATATGACCGAACCTAACCAACCCTACCTAACCTAACCTAACCTATATTTATAGGTAAGGTTAGGTTAGGTAGCCAAAAAAAGCTAGGTTAGGTTAGGTTAGGTAGGTTAGGTAGACGAAAAAACATTAATTCAGGAAAACTTGGCTTATTAGGCAAATCGGGCCTTGAATAGTAGGCTGAGAAGTGCGTTCTGGCTATTAGGTACGACATATATATATATATATATATAATGAACAAATTATAAATGTTCATATACAGTATATCGATTATAGATGAACAAGCGGGCTCGAGACCGAGGTCATTGACAATCTGTGTGCCACAACACTATTCAAATGTTTTAAAGTTTTGCTAGTTTCATGACGCACTGAAGTGTTCAGGTTGGTGAAGCCATATTATATTTCGGCACTCATTTTCCCTGTTTGTGTATATATTTCCCTTCCACGTGAGCTCAAGATGTCGCTGAGTGCGTCCTTACTTTGTACTAACCCATGATTGAGGATGATCATACGAGTTATAGCAGTATAATTAATTCCCTATCTAAGATAGGGAATTAGGCTACGATACGATTAGGGGGGACCTTTGACAAGCCGCTTGCTTCCTGCCCTCGTCGAGGCCACTAGTGTTAGTGGCTCTCGGGTAAACTTGGGTAAATTCAGGATAGTACATCTCCCGTGTAAGTCGTTTGGGCTAGCCAGCGAACCTTCCCTCAGTCCAATGTAGCAAAGGTTAGTGTCCCCGCTCACCTTTAGCCTATTTTCCCGCATTAACAGAAGGTATATGCACTTTTTTTCCAGGTTCCTGCTACAAAGTCTTGAGGACCTTGATAGTTCGCTTCGGAAACTTAATTCTCGCCTGTTCGTCATCCGCGGCCAACCAGCGCACGTCCTTCCTGAGCTTTTTAGAGTAAGTAATGGTCTGTATTTTGTGTGTAACCTATCTTGATTCTTGTACATGGCCTCAGAAGCTCTTTTTAGCTAAATCTATACACCTGCTTCCTCTCAAGGCTACCCAACATGACGAAATTCTAGCCAGATCAAATAACTCGTCATACAGTCCTCTTTAACAAACAAGAAACAAAATTTTCCCACATGTTGAGTGACATTTTGTAATTATGATGTATGTCTACCCCCTTGACTCATCACTCTCATTATTCACTTACCCTCAGCCTCACTCCCTCCCCTTGTCACATTCTCTCAACTACCCTCTATTCTCACTTTTTATACTAAGACGGCTTCATTGGGAATAGTGCTCATGTAATGTAATGTAACTTCTTGTCTTAACTTATCAAACCTTTAAACAACCTAACTGAATCATTTTAAATGTCTGAAACAGTGTGTATTAGTTCAAATTAGTTCAATAGTGGCCTTATTAAATATACAGAACATACTATGTACCAATTATTGAATACATTTTATATTTATTATTCTTGTGCTGGACACAAATGGTTCGGCAAGTTTCCTTTCGCCTGATTCACCTAGCAGTAAATAGGTACCCAGGAGTTAGGCAACTGTTGTGGGGTTGCATCCTGGATAGTGGGTCAGTTGTGGGGGGGGGTGGGGCAGACCTTAATACAACCATGAAAATATATATACATACATACATGCAGGCTTTCGGTCCCAAACTAAACAAATTATTATTATTACTGATATTGATGGTCTGGTGATGTCCGATGCTGAGGTCAGGCCAGCTTGCATACCTTGCCCGTTTCAGTGAGGCACGCACCATTTGCTGGTTGCGTTGAAGCTTCACTATTCTTTAAAGTGTGTGTGTGAATTTAGGCTATTAAAGGGAAGGACAATCACTCTCTGTCAAACTTTTCGTTAAAGTTGTGAATAGAGGTGGCTTTCATAACCTCTCTTAGTGCATTCCTCTTGTTTACCACCTGTACAGGGTACAAGTACTTCCTTACATTTCTTTGACTCGTTTGCAATTCCAGCTTGCACTTGTGTCCTCTTGTCCTACTGTCTCTCAACTTAGAGGCTGTCCTTGTCCACTTTGTGTATTCCCCTCAGTATCTTGTACAATATCATATCTCCTCTATTTCTCTTGTCCTCCAAGGTTGTGAGATCCAGTTCCTTCAGCTTATCCTCATAATTTAACCCTCTAAGCTCTGACACTAATAGCAAACCTCTGCACTTTTTCAATGCTAGTTTTATGTTTCACAAGGTATACATTCCAAGCAGGTGCTGCATATTCCAGTACTGGTCTAATAAAAGCTATGTAGATTGCTTTGAACGTCCTGATTTGGTAGCTGGTTGGCAGGGTACATGTAAGGTGTTGTGATGGCAGGGCAGATGACAGGGGGAGTCTGTAGGGTAGGTGACTGTAACGTTTATTATCTCTGACCACTAAAGGCTGTGATGATAATAAGGTAGACAAAGGAGAATAAAATCATTGTACAATACTGTGTTCTTCGAAAGAAACCGTTCACTTCATAATTATGGTACAGCATTAAGTAGTGTGATTCAGTTGTGTGAAAAGAAATTAGAAATGTTTGTGGGATACAGCACTATTAATTTATTTTTTCCCAATAATCTTGCTTGTGCAACTCTGGTTATGGTGGAAAACTGAACTTTGGACAGAAAGATTACACTACCTATAGTTTTCCTCTGAAGAAACAGGGATAATTTGTTTTAAGCTAAAAACATTATTTGAAAGTTTTGTTTCCATGAGTTTGTTTATACTAGAGTTAAAATTTTCAGTCAGTTTATCTGAAAAAGCTTCTGTCAATATGATTAGTATATTCTAGGTAAACATGGGATTACAGTAACCTGGTTCATTATGGTGATTATTGCTGCTAATTACAGTGCCTATAGTTTTTACATACGAATCAAAATCAGTTCTATCCCAAATACTGTAATGTGTAATTATTATAATAAGATACTGTAGAAGTTTTATATGCTTGTCTTTGGTGTGAAAGACAAACTACCCTTCTTAGTTCACAAAGTCTTCAAACTTTTAGGTCCTAATTATAATTGTTCTTTAAATTAGATTTAAGATTAAAAACTACATAATGCAACTATGGTACTGTAATGTGATTTCATACTTCCAGTGTCTTGGTTCATATATTGCTGTTCTAGTGTCATGCATAATTTGAATGCAGCTAAAGTGGCACCTTTACTTGCATAAGGAGGTACAAACTTCTTGACTTTTTTATTCCGTAACATGTACTTTACTACTGATTTTTTATTTTGTTTATTACAGGAGTGGGGCACAACATGTTTAACTTTCGAAAAAGATCCCGAGCCATTTGGCAAAGCACGTGATGCAAATATTGTGGCCATTGCCCGTGAGATGGGCATCAACGTTATTGTTAAGACCTCTCATACACTCTACAAACCAGAAAAGTAAATATGAATGCAGACTTCTTCTATACCCTTTTAAGGTTACTAAAATGTTGACAGTACAGTATGTATTACATTTTAAGAAAATTAAGCTTTGATTTTATTGTTTCTTTTTCTTTCCTACTGTTATCTACATATCCTAAGCAAAATTCTTAATTACCTTCACATGGAACTGTTTCCAGATTTGGAGGTGCACTCCAGTCCTTGGTAGTTTACCTGACAAAATATAATGCAAAAGCCCAAATTTTACTTGTAAATTAGCTACCAGTCTTCCAATTTACCCCTCTTCTTCCTATGTTTATGCCTACTCCTAACCAATTTTCTACTCACTAATGATTAATATGGCATCTAAAGATGTATCCTAGTACCAGTGTTTAGTTCCCATAGACATGAAAAACAATTGGCATGGAATGTTACAGAAAAGGTAATTGAAAACACCCAAAAATTATGTTTCCACATCAGACAGTTACTTCAAATTATAAATATTTTCAAATCAAGGCTATTAGACTGTCAATTTCTCTAAAGGTGAACTCTTGAAAATGTTTAATAAAATTTACAAAATCTTTAAATAGAGCACTGTATACAGTATTACTAAAGTATTACCATCCTAATCACTCTTTTTATTGAAAATAGTCTGATTGTTTATATAACAAATTAATGTACATAACTGTTTTTTCCAAATCCTATAGAATTATCGACAAAAATGGCGGCAAACCACCTCTTACGTACAAATCATTCCAAAATATCTTAATGAGTATGGATCTGCCACCTCTGCCTCAAAGCACAATTACTCTTAAAGACCTGGAGGATAAATATACTCCTTTATCTGATGACCATGAAGAGAAATATGGAGTTCCCACTCTGGAAGAGCTGGGTAAGTCATTCATTTAAGTACTACTGTAGGTTTAAACTACTAATTGGAGAACTATATTATACAAAAGAGAATGCAGCATGGTTAAAAGGAAGACATGAAAGAAAACAAATTAAAATGTATGGAACACAAATTTTGATGCAACTGAAAGATATCGGCAAACAAGTGGTAATGCTTCACGGAAAGAATGCAAGGCTGTATGGCAGTGTAAACAGAGGATGAATGAGGGAATGAAACATATGCTGAGTGTGTAAAAATCTGATTGATTTGTCGAAAATAAATTGTATGGTAACAGAGGGATGAGAAAATGTAATATGAATAAAAAAAAATTAAGAAATAGTGATAAAAATGGTGAATAAAAGGAATATTTAAGTCATTGGATGATAGATGTAAAAGTTACTAATATAATATTGTACATGTACATATAATTTTCTTCATATAATAGGTCAATAGGTCAGGCCTTGTCTATTGACCTATCTCACTCCCTCAAGAGAGCGAGTTCCTAGAGATTGGAACAAATGAAAAGGATATAAAGAGTATAGGAAAGGGAAGTACAGTACCAGTATGTACCTGTACCGTATATATTAACAAAATCAATGTAAGGCATTTAAAATATTGTCAGAAGAATTCCCAAGGTGGTTGTTGTTGTTGTTAAAGATTGGCTACCTGGAACATAAAGTTCCAAGTAGCACGGGCTATGGTGAGCTCGTAGGCCTTTTTTTTTAATCCCAAGGAATATCTTGCATTCAGTATCTGACATTCTTTACTGTAGTTTAGGTAGAGATGATGATATTGGAGAAAAACAAGATTCTTGTGTTTACAAAAAAGTATTCTGGAAAGATGCGGATATGGTGAAGAAGTGTAGTTGGTCATAGCTTGGCCTACTCTGATGTTTAGAGGTGAAGACTGAGATTATGACTTGACAGAATAGCAGGAATAATAGTGTGATTTTATGGGTGGTTTAAATGTGGAGCAAATAGAGTGAATAGAGTATTGCATGACTTAGATATTTAATAGTAATAAAGGAATGAATTACTGTATTCAAATACTGTATTATAGTATTTTATTTGATATAGGGGATTGCTTTGGATTGGACATGCATTTACAAGCCACCATAGTGAAAATGTAATAATCAAGAACTGAATGCATTTAGTCAAATCATCTAATTACATTGATAACTGGGGTCATCAGTGTAATGCTGGTGATTTGACTATATATAAAGGAAATCTAAATTCTTTAAGTGGTTTCTATACCAGTTTTAGGATACCCAAATGGATGGGAATGGATAGCTATGCTTAGTGGACATGCGACTGGATGAGTAGATATACATATAGGAGAACAAGGAATTGTGCAAATGCAAGTATTGTACAGTATAAACAGAGGAGAATTGTGAAGGGTAGACATGTATAAAAGACATGGAATTCATAATTGAATTCAAATTAATTGAGGACAAATATTTGTAGACAACATTTTATACCAAAAATATATTAATATTGTACTTATGTGATTATAACCACTGTATGTTGAAAGGGGAGGGTAAAGAATACTTAATACTTGCATATTACTTTGTAATGTGCAGTTATTGTATTTTGTAATCTGCTTATTGAAAAATTTTAATAACATTTTTACATTGGATCATGATTTATATAAATATTTTATGATGCTATCCTTCTAACTTAAGTTGTACACACCTGTATTTGAAATTAAAGATAATGTAAAAAAAAATTTAAGTAAAAGTTCATTATACTATAGAAATTTCTTTTGAAATCCTACTTTTTTGTTTAGGTTTTGACACAGACTCGTTAAATCAAACCGGTTGGAAGGGAGGCGAGAATGAAGCCCTGACCAGGCTAGAGCATCATCTAGAGCGCAAAGCTTGGGTTGCCTCGTTTGGACGACCCAAGATGACTCCACAGTCTTTGTATCCATCCCGCACTGGACTATCGCCATACCTTAGATTTGGTTGTCTATCTTGTAGAAGATTTTTTTCCGAGCTTAATGACTTGTATAGAAAGGTACGTTTTAGAAGTTGATGTACATTATTGCTCTGTGCAGTATTACAGTATCTGTAATCTTTTCCTATATTACTGTTGTATTTATTTAAGGCTGAGGCCTCCCTTCCTCATGAAAGTGGGAAACAGAATAGGCTAATAATGTCATGCTTATTTGTTCATGTCAACTACACAAAAAATGTTTTAATTACAAAAACTTGAGTGTGTGAGGTATAGTTTAACTCAGCTTGCCACTACCCCCCTACCAATAACAAATTCTCTTAACACAAGCAAGTACTTATTTCATGTGTACATTACAGCAAGGGAGAGCTGGTATGAATGTGACCAAGCATGGTCCACATTCTTAGACAAAAAAATTAAGTTGTCATCACCCTTGTTCCTTGTATATATGTATGGCCACCCTAAAAAGTTAATAAAAAAAATGTAACTTTTAAAATAATAAATTGGAAGAGTAGAGCAAAATTTATATTCTTGGGGAGTTGCTTGTGAACCAGCTCGCTGAGATGGCTCCTAACTACCAGTACTAGGTCACGTCGGCTGTGGATATCTTAGGACTACCAGGGACCTGAGCCAGAACTAGTCCCACTTCAAAGAGGCACAGGGAGCAGATGTTTGTCACCTAACCTTCTGAAGGTATCCAGAAAGTCGGTGAACTAAAATGGACAACTGTTGGGTTCAAATGAGACCGAAGCCTTGCAACTCGCCTAATGAGCTCCCTCCCCCCCCCCCCATCAACATAAACAAACGATCGAATCTCTCGAAACGAGCACAAGCTTGTTCACCCCACTTCCTTTTCCTTCGTAGCTGTTTTTCAGTTTCTGACCATTTGGTGCTCTCCTTTCTCATGGTTTTTCTTGATTGGCGTCTTATGCTGAATACTGTTGCCTCGTATCATGTTGAGGCTCAGGCAGAAACCGGGCCACAGGAACCTAGAACCCCCAGAATCAACGCAAGGTAACCACAAGGTACTGCACTGGCAGAGCCGCTGCAGCTTGTGTTCTGTATCGATGTTATATCGGCACCATTTTGCGAGCTGTCTTCCTCATTGTTTCACCTCCAGCCTGCTCCTGTACCACTTAAATCTACTTGTTCCTTTGACCAGGGTCTTCCTTTTCTGGCTTCTTCTAAGTTTACAGTTTCCCCTTCAGTCCAGGAATCCTTTTCTTTTGGTAGCTCATGCCTCTGGTTGTTGGAGAGCTTCCTGTTTTTCTCCAGAGGCGGGATTTTTATTCTTTTGGTGGACGTTTCTTCTTTTGCTGCCGGCTCCTTCATTTCTAGTGAAGGAGTTGGCTAGCTTCCAAAGGGGTCCTCTGCTTATTGATGCTTGGTTGGTTCAGCCAGGGGTGCACCATGTGCTATGTCTGGAGGCAGCTCTCTGCCACTACCATCATGCTGCCAATTCTACCTTGGATGCTTTGTGGGTGGATCCAGTATCCTTGGTTCCATATTCCAAGGCTCCTGTTTCTCGGGTCGTAAAGTGGGGGACGTTTGGTAAATGAACTCGCACTAATTTAGAGAGATTTGACAGTTTAATAGTTTGGGGAGTTCATTAGGTGGGATGCAAGTCATCAGTCTCCTTTGAACCCAACAGTTGTCTGTTTTGGTTCACCAACGTTCTAGATACCTACCCCGGTTAGATAATGGACTGGCATATGCTCTCTTTGCAGGGGGGCCAGGTTCTGGCTTTAGTCCCCAGTATGCCTAAGAACTCCACAGTTGATGCGACCCATCTCGGCAAGATAGCTTCAGGGAGCCACTAGGGCTCACACAGAAATTGGTAATGATTTTTTTTTTTATCAACAATAAGTTTATATCAAGTATTATGGTTTCATATTCATGGAATTTTTGTACAGAATTAAATGCTGTACTGTACCGTATCCTGCTTTATAGAAAGTACTACTGTATATGGTATTATAAATAATGAGGAAATGGACTTTAATAATTTACTAAACTGTTTTTGCTCCCTTCTTGGTTCCAAGTGCTATGATACCCCTTAAATTTTGTCATGCTCTGTGCCATGAAGGCTGTTTTGGTCCTTCAGCTTTGTAGTCAGTGCTTGCACATAGCACTATAGATAGCCTATTAGATATTTAGGGTGGGTGATCCTTCTCCAGAGGGGACCTTACTAGCTCTCACCTACTGCATTTGTACAGGAAGTGCAGTAGTCACTTTTTTGGATGAAAGTAGAAAATAATCAGATTCTGGGAAGACTGGACTGCATTCCTATAGTACACAAATAGTGGGCTTATTGTATGTACAGTACTGTATAGTACTTCACATTTACAAAACATTCCACAACCCTGCATTGTTCATTTAATACGTAGCTCTGAACTTGGTTATCTTTGATTACCCAACAGATTAGAAAGTCTCCTCCGCCACTGTCCCTGCATGGTCAGTTGTTGTGGCGAGAATTCTACTACACTGCAGCAACCAACAACCCAAAGTTTGACCATATGGAAGGAAACCCCATATGTGTTCAGATACCTTGGGATAAGAATCCAGAAGCTCTTGCAAAATGGGCCAATGTAAGTGCAGTTTACATTTTGAAATGGCATTGCTAAAATATATAGCATATAACTTCTTACAACTTAATAGAATTAAATTTGTTTTTAAAGTGGTTGTCCTCCGTCCATCTGTTAGTTCATCCACTCACACGTTAAAATAGTTCATGATGTATCTGTTATATAAGTTATATAAGTAAAATACCCTGTACTTCTCTTTCAGAGAGGTACAGGGTACCTTTGTAAAACAAGGTTTGTGACATAGAATTAGAAAACTATTTTTCTACAGTATATTCTTAAGTATAACATGTGAATATTTTATACTTGTTGCAATAAATGCAAATCATTAGAGTTTGTTGCCTTCTCTGCTTTAATTATATCTCTTGTGTACAGGATCTTTTACATTTATATTGTGCAGCTTGTGTGTGCGTTTTTTTTTCCGATACCTTGCCAATGCTCAATTCATTTTCACTGAAGTTTAAAATATTCTTGTCTTGATATACAGTATCAAAATTTTCCTTGGAATGGTGCTACATGACTTCTTAACAATCGTGGTACAATAGCTCATTTTTCTGTTTCTAAATTATCTTTATTAAAACAAGTGCTGTAGTGCTATGATAGATTTTCTCTAAGCTTGGGAGATGACTACTCTTGGGTAGTCATCTCTTTTCATGTAAATTATGAGCCGAGTATAATGAACAAATCTACAAGGGCCATGACAAGGACTCGAACCTATGTCCGAGAGCATCCCAGACACTGCCTTAATCAACTGAGATACGATATAGTCAAAAAGAGTTGAAACTAGAAATTCTACTGGACTTACTTGGATCCTGCAGCCTCTCCGAGACACAAACCAGGGTTTTACACAACTCCCCCATGCACTCGAGCATGTCAATGCCTAAAGGCTCTGTTCTGGGGACCTCTGTTGTTTATAATATATATAAATGATTTAGATTCAGGTTTGAGTAGCAACATTTGCAAATTTGCCGATGATACAAAAATCTGTAGGGAAATAAACACGGAAGAAGACTAACGATCACTTCAAGTCGATCGAAATAGGGTTTTGAAATGGTCAAAAGATTGGCAGATGCAGTTTAATGCTGATAAATGTAAAGTTTTGAGGCTAGGTAATGATGATAGTTACAAGATACGAGCTAGATGGTGTTGAGATTGCGAAATCGGATTGTGAAAGGTATCTGGGAGTTAGGATTAGTAAGAATTTAAAACCAAAAGATCAATGCATGATTGTTTGTAATAAGGCAAATAGGACACTGGGATTTATTAATCGAAGCTTTAGTAACAAGACATCTGGTGTTGTTCTTCAGCTATATCTTGCTCTGATTAGGCCCCATTTAGATTATGCAGTTCAGTTTTGGTCGCCGTACTATAGAATGGATATAAATTCACTTGAACGTATCCAGTGTAGGATGACAAAGTTAATTAGAAACCTGTCATATGAAGAGAGATTAACAAAGCTAAAATTGCATTCACTGTAAAGGCAGTGTTAGGGGTGACATGATAGAGGTTTACAAGTGGATGAATGAATATAACAAAGGGGATATTAATAGATATTAAAGTAGCAACACAAGATAGAACACAAAACAATGGATATAAATTGGATAAGCTAAGATTTAGTTAAGACTTGGGTAAATATGGGTTCGATAACAGAGTTGTTGATCTGTGGAACAAATTACCGCGTAACATGGTGTAGGTCGGGTCCTTTGATTGTTTCAAACGTGGGTTGGACATGTATATAAGTGGGATTGGGTGGTTATAAATAGGAGGTGCCTCGTATGGGCCAATAGGCCTTCTGCAGTTACCTTTGTTCTTATGTTCACATTACTTTTTTGTTTTGCTCTAACATTAAGTGCAGTTTCTACAAAATTTATATTTACACAGGGTCAAACAGGATATCCCTGGGTGGATGCCATCATGACTCAGCTGCGGAAAGAGGGGTGGATCCACAACGTGGCTCGGCATGCTGTTGCTTGCTTCCTGACTCGGGGCGATTTGTGGGTGTCTTGGGAAGAGGGTATGAAGGTGCGTGTACCTCTTCAGTAAACATACAGTATGGTACTGTATATACAAAATACTGTATGCTATGTCTAGATTTTAATCAAAGTGCTGTAGAATATAATACTGTACTGTATTTCTAGAATGGATCGCAGCAGATCAGCACCATTGGAACTGCAAATAATTTACTAACACTCAGTACAGGTACACAAAATCTTGGGGTATTGGAATGTGGTTCCTGCCTCATCTAAAGAGGGACTTTAACTGGTTATTTACTGGTTTCTTGAGTTAACCACCATTGGAAAAAATTTAGTTCCATATATCATTAAAAACAGCGACCATGTTTAGATTAATCAGGTCTTCTCAGCCACAGCCAGCACTTAACCCTCAAAGGCACACACCATGTTAGGTTTATTTCCTGGTTCACATAAAGAGATTCTAAAAACTTCATCTTTTTTATATCATAAAACACTTTTTTGATGCTGGGAAAAAATTCTAATTTTCGTTTGGCAATACAGTAGTAAAGTGAAGAAATAAAATGTAAAATTCTGTGAATTAACTTTAAAGTACAGTAAATTATTTGTAACAGATATCTTTATCACAAATATCTTCCTGGGTCATAAAAGTCCTTGAAATTTGCACGGCAACAGTGGTTCCAAGCATAGGCGTTAGTACAATAAACGGATGGTAGTTCACCTGATATGATGCAAATTTTTTATAATGCCAAGGAGGTAATTAAGGCTTTAAGGATTTCTCCCAATATGGGAAATGATTGCCAGGGGATCTTAGTGTTAAATGACATCTACATGGAATATTTAGGAATGTTGAATATTATGAGGCACACTAAATCGTCCACAGGCAGCATGGGCCTCGTTAGTCTATCATTTAAGGGCAACAGGAACAGTTTAAGGGTTAATTAAAATGATTAACAGGCAAGATCAAAATGATCTTGCCTAACCTAAACAAAGAAACCTATTCAAACTTATCATAAATAAAATAAACAATAGATATACAATATTTATTAAGGCAAGCTGTGCCATTGGAAGAGTTCTATATACAATACTGAATAATATAAAGATTGACATAGCATTTACACCATGGTTGTTTAAATAAGAGCTTTGACTAACGACAAATTTGCATCGTATAATAAGCAAAATAGTCATTACCACTAGATTATTTAATTTCCTCAATCACCAAAGATCAGGTAAAAGTATACAGTACTGTACTTCCAATACATACGTTTTCATAAATTTTACTTTTCAGTTTGAAATGGAACAATAGAAACAGCAAAATAATCACATGGAAATTCTTCTTCCAGGTTTTTGATGAATTACTATTGGATGCAGACTGGTCTGTAAATGCTGGGTCCTGGATGTGGCTCTCATGTTCTTCATTTTTCCAGCAGTTTTTCCACTGTTACTGTCCTGTACGGTACGGTAGAAAAGCAGATCCAAATGGCGACTATATAAGGTAAGCCTTTTATAAGATATAACATTTTGCTACAATGAAAAAGATAAGTGTAAAACGATGGCTCAAAAATACCGTATATCCTCGTATAAAAGTCTATTGCATGTAAGTCGACATTCTATTTCTGGTAAAAAATTAAAAATTTGTAATTTTCCATATACTTTGTGCAACCTCAGGATTGCATATATAACAGTTCAACATTTGTGGGTCAAGATGTTATCCTGTACATAGAAATACTGTACCACGCTTCAAAATCATGAATTTAAGGCCAGTTAGTGCTGCATAACTATACAGGTATATGAAAATTTTCCATAATTCTGCTTGAACAAGTTTCATCATACTAGGAATCTACTGTACAATGTGTGTTGTTGAAAGCCAGTTTGGTGTAGGGTTATTTCAGCAAGTTTAACTTTCTGTTTGGAGAAATTTGATAAATTTAACAATTACAACTACAATTCTTAACTTTAATGTACAGTATACAGAGGGTTGGGTGAAAATTTGTATGTAAAGATGATAAAATTAGGCATCTGGAGATACTTGTAGTGTTGCCAAGATGAGACGTGTTGAAAGTAGGGAATACTGTAAATAGGAAGCAATACTGGTCAAATTTACTTTAAGAGGAAGTGAATAATTATGAAAAGAAGGCACCAAGCCAGGAAGACTGTGAAGATTTATGGGGTTAAGACAAGTTTAGAATTCAGAAATAGAACTACAGTACAGTATTTCTAGCATTTGTGTTGTATTAAAATATACATTTCTTTTACTTTTAAGAACATATTTGCCTGTGCTTAAGAACTTCCCTACAAAATATATTCATGAGCCCTGGACTGCACCTGAGTCAGTGCAACGAGCTGCGAAATGTGTTGTTGGAGGTGACTATCCGATGCCTATGGTGGATCACATCAAGCAGAGCCAGAACAATATTGAAAGGATGAAGCAGGTGTACCAACAACTTGCTCACTACAGAGGAAAAAGTAAGTATTACAGATGTACTTGATCAGGTGATGCTACAGAATTTAATTTAGGCCCAAACCTCAAACATAATCAAAACATTGAAAGTTTAGTACTTTTTTTTTTAAATACCTTGTATACATGATAATATATGTAGTTTCCTTTATAAAATGTTAGGAAGTGTTCTAAAACTTGTTTATTTTTAACATTCTAGTTAATCCTGCTATAAAGTCTCCTACTGTGGACCACTACCCATCACCTCCACCTGAGTACGAGAAGAAAAGAAGCAACAAGACTGGCAAAAGTGATATCCAGCGTGATTCTAGCTATAGAGTTCAAGTGCAGGCCTGACTCAAATGTGCCTCGGATGATCATGAATGCTAAGCTGCAAGTGCAGCATTCCAACTCTTCTCGACAGAACCTAGAAAGGTAGAATCTTGGGTCTTGATACAAAACCAATATCATGAGACAGTTATACCTGCCATGTGTGGGGGTAATGATTGAACAGTATCATCTTGGAGGTATATAAACATCATTACAGTAGTTACAACACACATTTGCAAATGTTAGCTGGTTTTATGATCACTAATACTAGTATTAAGTTTGAATTACCCGATTCTAAATACTGTAGATAACCTTCTGGAAAAAATGAATCGTTGCCGGAACTCTTAGCAGCTTCAACGTGAATCAATCACTTGCTACTTATTTACTATCGGCATTTACACCGGTGTTACTTTTATGTTACAAGTAATGTTGCATAATGGAATTGACTGACAATGACCATAAAATAGCTAAGAAATACATGTAAATAGCTGGTAGAAAACTGTCACCATGAAAGCATAATGTGCGGTTATGATCTTCACATCTTTACTTATTTCCTGTGATCTGGTCGTGTGCTAGATCTCTAGAACATTTATTTATATTTATTTTGTTACTACTGTAGATTGATTGTTGACCAAGGTTGACACTGTGTTTATCAGAATCATTGAATCAATGATTAATAAATCATCAGTAGAAATGATAATTTTATGGTTATTGTTTAGAATGTCTATGCTATCAACACATGCAATCTCTGTCATAGTAACCTGGGGAAAAGCATCCACACAACATTTGCACAGATATGCAACCTTCTAGCACAGTGATTTTTTAAGTCGGCTCATAGTTGATTGGACCGGAGTTTTATTCCTGTGTAGGGCAAGATATTTATTCACATTTCCTCTGTTCCCCTAGTAGAAAATAGGTACTCCGGAGTTAAGTAACCGTTGTGGGCTTCATCCTGGGCAAGGTGAGTCATTGATCTCGATTACCTTAACAGGCTTCTTGTCACCAACAGTAGAAACCCATATATTTCGGCAAATGACTATTTTATTAAATGTGTGCATGCACACATGTACACTTGTGTGCACTAGCCATAAGACATAACCAGATATTCTTGATATTCTTGCATGCACGTATGTGTAAATAGTTCAGAGATCATTGAATGTCTCGAGTTTTGCACAGCTAAAGTAGAAATCTACACAGGTGGATACATTGGCACATGTAGGATGCATAAAGAACATAGAGTAAATATAATAATTATGCAAAAGAAAAATGGGATGAGCCGAGTTTTGTATTGCAAACCACAAACACGTACAAAATTTAAGAGCATTCCTGTTGTTTGTAGTGTGTGATCTATAAATTATTTTCTGTGGTCATTTTCAAAGGAGTCAGTTCAAGTCCAAAAGCTTATTCCTACAGCTTCTGGAAACTCCTACAGTATACTTTTTGGACAAGGTGGAATGCATGTTTAATTTATATAGCCAGATGAGAAAAGTATGCAACTATGAAAAAAAAGGCTCTAAGCCAGGAAGACTATATAGCATTGTCTGTTTTTGGATTTTCAAAAGGTTTTTGAATATTACTAAAGATGCTAGTATGAAAACAAAAGAACATTAGGCAAGTGATATGAAAGGTATTGGATTCCCCCAAGGGAAGAGAGACAAGCGACCCCCAGGGACATTAGGAGAGCAAGACATATCCTGAAAATCAGGACATTCTACAAGGGGGTGCGTGATTGTAAGTGGGACAATAAGGAGCAGGATGCTGTTCCATCAAGTGACCATAAGTTAAGCGAGTGTGACCAATACACAACTTGGCCAAAGCAGTTTTCCATCGTCTATTATGATGGTAGTTGGAAGACTAAGGGGAAAAGATCACTTTCAAAGAGCAGCAGTTTATTATCTGTAATACTGGCCCAATGACCTTGCCAGTTGTAGGTTGCAGAATGAATGACTGGGTAGAAATCTGAATAAGGAATTCCTTTCCAGGAAGTGCAAATCATCTTAGTGGCAGTGTCTGCAAGTTCACTCAGGGTAACTTCAATATGGCTAGGAACCCATCAAAATTTGAGGGTCGCATATTTGTCAGAGAGATAAGAAATGGCCAACATTAGATTTCGACCACCACAAGATGCAAAGGGTTAAGACTGCAGAGCGATGAGGTCACTGAGGGTTAACCACAAATGAAAATAATATTTATGCAGAGAAAACAGCTGACAGAGCATACAAAGTTGCAAGAAGTTGCTAGTCTCCAGGGGCAGGTGACACACAGGTTTTTAATGAAACTGATGGTATAGCCAACACCATCGATAAACTTATACCCATCTGTGAACAGAGCAGTGGAGTAGGAAACAAAAAAGAATAGCTAGAATTGCAAGTATGTAGTGATAAAGCTCCATGGTATTGTGCCAGAAACTTTGGCAGTGTTGGGTTTGTGGAAAGTCATCCTGCATAGTCTAGGGAGTTTCTTCCTCAACATGCAGAAGTCTGAATAAGACATTTGTGTATTCTCTGGGGTGCATAATAAACATATGCTGGTAGCAACAGTGTAATCTCACATTTTGTTTTGGCAGTTGGCACATTTACAAAAATAAAAAGCATCCCAGTATTAGTGCTGATTGACTATTGTACCTGATTCACCATTTCTTCACTGTCAAAAATTTTGATTTAGAACATCCCATTTATAGCTGTTTGGTTGCAAGGTAAAGGAAAAAAACATTAAATTAGCTAAGAACTGGGCATTTTACATGTAAGCTTCTGAAGCTTATTTGAAATTCATCCTTCCTGTATAGTTTTTATTGTTACCCAAACTTAAAAATTTAGTAAAAGTACATTAATTATCCCAATAAGTGTAATACAATCACTACAAGGCATTCTTAAAGAGGAATTTATAAGACGCTTCCAAAAGTTTTAGGAACAATGAAAGGAGGATTTAAATTTGTGGAATGTCTTTGAAGACATTCCAAAAATTTCTTCTCCCCTCCCCCCCCCCCCCAGTAGTTAATTCCTGGATCTTGAGCTTCAAACACACAAATCGTGTCTTAAATTTGTGCATTATACCTCATAAATTTAGATGTATAAATTGCCTTACATGCTATGTCAACTGCATATTTCTATATTTTTACTGGCAGATGATCTTTTGTACACACATTAAAATGTATATATATGTATATATTGTGGACAATCTTTTCCTTCACAGCATCAGGATGTGTGCTAAAGCCTCACCAAGCATGTAGATTGAAAAGGAAACACTGAATATTGAAAATGAAGGGAGTCTTTTAATCAATATATATTAGTATATTGGTCTCGGATGCATTTTAATACAGTATTTTATTTTACTTCTTGGGGGGGGGGGGGGGGGAATTAAACGTGAATGAAATGTTAAAAGAATATGGAAAATATTTGTTTGTTATAACATAAATATAGCAAGAACTTCCTAAAAGTAAATGCAATAAAATTAAAAAGATGACAGTTAACCTTGCCACTAGTATATTGTACTCAACTGCTGCCTGTGATCATATACAAATTAAAAAATATATATAGTGTATATATATATAAGCATTAAAATTGTTAAATTATAGTATAGCAAAATCTTGACATGTCTTAAAGTTGTTGATTCTATGTGATGCTTTCATCCATCCATGCCAGCACAGTTACAAACACAATTGGCAAAGCACATACAGCAACTATGTTTCAGAAGTGCTTAGCAAAGTCGGTACAAAAAGCTGGAGATAATCTATTGCAAGAGTTGGAAGATAAAAATTATAAACATGATTGATTCCTACATAAATTTACTAATGGTTGACAATACAGGTAATCATGTGGATGATGATATATGACCAAAATAAGATTTATTAGATATTGCACATTAGTTTGAAAAATCTTTGTAATGTTCATTACTTTTTGTCATAAAAGGACTGAATGGTGAAGTGCTAAGTGGTGGTTCTGTTTAAATACCTGAAATGAGATAAAAAGATGAATTTGTGCAAATTGAAATTAAGGTTAGGGTGTGGAAAGTGGCTAGTGCTATGAAAGCCTTAGTTACAATAAACAACATAGGAACAGATGCAGTCTGAGAGCTGCATAAAGCAGTACTAGTGCTGACCCCTTGTTCATGGATGTAAAACTGATGCTCCACAAAATGTGAATAACAAAAAAAAATAGCAGTAAAATGAACAACCCGAGAAGTATGTGTGATGTTCAGATTGGATACAAATATTGAAAAATGTCATAAGATATGAATAAAATAAGAAAATGTCATATGTTTTTGTAATTTACAGTGATTGACTTTGAGAGACCTTACATTTTTTTTAGTGGTCAAAAATCTGTATAAACTCTTAATGTAAATATGTTCTCAATAAAGAATTCTTTAATTAAAGATGTTTTATTGCACTGTATATATATAGTTCATGTGAGCAAAGCATTTGATACTTGGCAAAACTAGTACTATATCTTGTACAGTTTGTATGCCTGAAATGCATTGCATACTAGTGTATTAGTATGCATTTTATGTAACAACTATTCAAACATTTTGCAGCATTCTGTATACATTCTAATCAAAATTATTATAATAATAATTTTCGTTACACTACTTGGAATTTTAAATAATGTAGAACCTCTCATATTGATATGAACAGTATTTTACAAGCTGCCTTGTGTATAGTTACTAAAATCAAAATGTAGATCTTTGTACACAGCATATTGACTTCAAAACTGGGGTTCACTGCTCAAACACTTGAATGTTCCAACCTATCACTGCATACTGTACCTATGAATGCCATGGGCATCCCCAAAGTCCCACTCAGTGAGGCCTAATTTCTTTTTTAAGTATAAAATCTGTGGGTATTTAACCATAAATTTGGTGTCATATTTTTCATCATAAAAAAATGGAAATATGTGCACACATGACTGGTTCAAATCACTGAAAAAAGAAAGCACAGTCATACTTTTCTGGCAGTTATTTGCAAAGCATTGTGAAAATGCTCACAAGCAAAATAATTGTCATTTTGAGTGATAGTTGTCCGAGGTGATCTCTTGACGGTTGGTCCCCTGATAAGCTATGCTCACACTGCTCCAAAATAAGGAATTTTTTTTCATTTTTTATTTAAGTTTTTAAATTTTCTTGAGATGGCTGATCTATTTAAGCATCATTGAGTAAATGTTCCAATAAAGTGTTAATGCTAAAGTGTCAATATCTACATATAGAAAAAGGCCACTGTACAATCCCATCATAGCTGTTAAATTCATTGCCAATGGATATAAGCAGACATTATGATGGCTGCTCCACAATGTCTCCCTGAACTGAAAAACAAGAGGTACAAGGAGATGCTAAATATGCCGAAGATAGAAGAAAAAGAGGCAATATGATCACTACTTACAAAATACTAATGGGAATCGTCAAAATTGACAAAGAAGAATTTTTAAAACTGCAACCTCAAGAACCAGAGGACATAAATAGGTTCAAACTAAGGAAACAAACTTTTGTTAAAAAAAGTGCCAAAAAAAACTTTTGAAAGTTTACCTTTACAGAGTGGTGGTAGATGGTTGCAACACATGAGGTGGAGGGCAAAACTGTCAGTAGTTCCAAAGTGTCAAATGACAAGTATTATAGTACTGGGAAGACGTAGCTCTCCTCCTGTAACTACACTTAGAATCTTTAATAGCCTTGAAAATGTAATTACCTAACACTGACCAAACAGAGATGCATGCTGTTGGGTGCTGTTTGTGTGAAGAGAGCATCCAGTTGTTGCTCTTGAATTGGAGCACCAGGTCACCAATCTTGGTAATTACAGTACAGTACAGTACAGGGATTTATAGGCAGAACCTAATTCTCACACATTTCTAATGAAAAATGTCAAGACTTGCATCGTTTTTACCTTGCTGAACAGTTGCACTAAGGGCTAAAAAAAATAAAAATTTAAATAATGAAACTTGACATATGTCAATTATATATATATTAACATATTAAGATACTGTATTCCCAATATGATTTCACTTATAAGGATTGAAAAAATGCCATAAATATATAAGTTTAAATATTAGAACCAAAGGGTTTTTATGGCTTGATAATAACTTTACCAATATTTTTCCTTTCGGCAATTTGCTTAGTTGCTTCAACAATTTGATCAAAATTCCATACTGAATCAATGCATGGACACAGCTTTCCTACATTGATCATTTCCAAAACTTCTTTCCATCCCTGACGAAAGGTCGTAGGGTCTTTGTTTCCCAATTCACTCAAGTGAAACCCTGGAAAAGTTGCACAATTAGTGTGATAGTTACATGATTTGGATGAAAATCCTTATTTTTATTTAACAAACATTTGCTTATACAGCATTTGCCTGAGAGGAAAATGTCTCATAAAACCCACCTGAATCCTAAAATGTACAAGATTAGTGTAACGTGAGAGAGATAAACTGGGGCAAATAACTAGTACGAGTTACTTGTAGTTTTAGCAAAAAGGTACTCTGTAAATGTGCAAGATAGGTTACCTTAAAAGAAAATAGTCTACAGCCAAGGTAATGTTGCCATTCAATAGTGTAGGACCAGAATAAAGTCTACTCAGCTTTCTTTTTCTGCTTTATTTTAGTAACCTTGGCATAGAACTCAATCAAGTTTGTCAGGCATGAATTTCCTTTTCTTAATCCATGCTGTCCTTTTGTTACAAAGTTGGTCCTCTCCAGGTGTTAAATCATTCTTAACTTGATTATGTTCTCCAGCAATTTATACATAATACTTGTCAGTAACACTGGTCTGTAAATTTTTTTTTTTTTTTTTTTTTTTTTTTTTTTTTTTTTTTTGACTATGGATTGGGGGACTATTGAGACTATGTTTGCATTTTTCCAGAAATCTGGGAAAAATTCTAAAAATTTCCTGCCTTGTGTATTTATTTACAATTTTAGGTAACAGATCAGCAGCCACGGTGATATTAAATCTGGTCCCGTTCAAGTTGTTGCATCTAGTTTCTCCATGTGTGTTTTTACCTTTCGTATAGTGACTGCAATGTCATTCAGTGTTTCTTTTGGCCTTTAATATTGTAACCTTGGTCTCCAGTTAGTTGTATTGTAAAGACCTCCTGAAATCTTTTGTCGAGTTCCTCACATATACTGTATCTGTCATTATCTATGAGAATTTCCCCCCCTGGTTCCTCAACCTAATTACATTCTCACTGTTTTTTTGTCATATATGGCTATAGAACAGCTTTGGTTGGTCTATAGCTTATGCAGCAATATAATTTTTAAATTGCCTCACAGTGTTTCTTCTGACTTGGGTGTGTACTGCCATTATTACTACTGTTCATCATGTGTGGGCTTCAAAACTGGTTTGTATAGCAGAACGTAAGCCAAAATTTGGATTTTAAGGCCATTTATAAGTCAGACACCCCTGTATAGAAATGCACTGAAGGCTTAAAAGGTAAAGATTATATTTCTAAATGTTAGAAACATATAGAGATGCACAAAACTGAACCTTAATGAAATTAACAAAAGTACTAAATATAGATAGAAACAATATAAAGAATTAGAAAAAAACAAATGGCATTACAATTAATTATCATATACAGTATTATATACCTGCAACAGCATGATTGTTCATGATGAGTGTGTACGGAGAGACACTTTTTGTGGTCCACCAGGTTTTAAAGATACGCCACAGACTACGGTGTTCACTGGCTATCATTCCGCGAGCACCAATCAGCACCACCTGTGCATAAACATATGTCAATCATGTAATGAAAAATTAATTTCCTAATAGAAAATAACAAGAAAAATTCCAAAAACACCAAAATTCATACTGCAAGAAAGATGGGTCTGTCCTTATAAGACTAAGGCACAAGATCCATAGTACCAACACCTTGGTTATACTGTAATGACTGGTATGTAATGTCTAGCTTATATTTTTATAAATCTAAATCTCTGTTTTATTTTGCCCATGTCAATTTTCATTACTCAACTTCAATGTTAGCAAATTGTTGAGTTATGTGAGAGAATGTTTATTTGTAAAATAGGTTACCCTCGTATTTTTGTGTAGCCTGATCTTGTACCATCTTCACCCTCAGAGAGAGAGAGAGGAGATGTGACCAAGGATGGAGGCTTATGGGTGAACCTGTGAGGCATCCACCTCACTCTTATAAGGTTGTTTTCCCTCACTTTTTCATTGTGGTTGAGAAGGCTCATCTACACAGGGTGAGCTGATAAATATCTCTATGTATTATATGTTACCTAACTTGTGTTTTTAAAATAAATGTAATGTATACATCTTTCTGGTTTGCTTATTAGTGGTGGTAGGAGTATTTAGTAATAATGTTTGTTCAGGCTGATATTTTATTGAAAGAGTTGAAAGGTGTGGAAATTTAGAGATCTGGAACAGTACCCTATTTTACCCCATACAAATTTAATTTTGTTTTGTGCAAGATTTTAAAGAAATAACACTGAATGAGGATCAATTGTATTCCATTAATGATTAGTTCCCGTGGCGTAGTGGTAAGACACGCGCCCCGTTCTTCGCAAGCAACTGTACGCCTCTGTTCACCCAACAGTGAATGGGTACCCGGCTGTTAAATAATTTGGCAGGTCGTATTCAAGGGAAACTACCATTAAAGACCTGCCCAAAATGCCATGCATGCTAGTGGCTTTACAAGAATGCACAAGCTCTTGTATATATAAATCAAATAAATAAATAATTGATAATAATAATGGGTTTAAAAATGTTGAATAAAATACAGCCAGAATTACTAACCTTGCCAAGTGGTTCTAGAAGATCTTGACTTTTAGTGAAGTCCACCCCACTTAGGCTATCCAAGACAATGCTTACACCTTGAGGGCGGTGTCGTAGTACTTCTTTTTGATAATCCTGTAAACTTGAAACAATTAAAATTTGAACTAATTTCTTCTCATTATTGGTTTATGCTTCAAGTCAATACAATGAAATATTCTTGAGACGTTGAAAAGAAGACCCTGAGGAAGAAGATAATTTAAAAACATTAAACTATACAGCACTGAATGTGATGAAACACTTTTCTGGTGGACCATTCACTTGCTTCCCACCTTTTATTAAAGAAAGCTACTTTTTAAGAGAGAGCCACATTTTACAGCTGCTCCCTATCCCTCTGTTGTTCTCCTTCTTGTGTTACAATCAAATCATGTCATATATATGTGAGCTGGTTTAGGTTAGTGAACCAGGGAATGAATGAGGCACAATCCAAGTACAAGCAGTGGGTTCAGCTAGCCAGCCTACTTGGTATTGGAGTGAAACCCCTTAGCAGTCACATGATGTCACAAGCAAAGGCTTTGATTTGATGTTAAAATCTTTAAACAGTCAATTCTGACAGAATAAGTTTCCTCTGAATTACTCCCATGCACACTATAGATGAATGTTTGAAAATTCACTGTGGCACATGCTGTATTTCACAAAAAAAAGTAATGACATGTCATTAGGAAACCTAATCAACCAGGGTGTGATTGGCTGGTTGCGAGCAGCCATGTCCAACAGCCTGGTTGACCAGTCCAGCAATGAGGAGGCCTGGTCGAGGACCTGGCCGCGGGGACGTTGAACCCCAAAATCATCGCAAGGTATGTCTGCCTGCATGATCCATGTACTGTACAGTGTGTGTGAAGGAATGACAGTGTGAAGGAAGTCAGGTTAAACCCCATTGAATCTAGGTGATTCTGCAGAGAGCCTTGCCCTTGCCTTGGGAAACCTCAATAAGCCTATAAGATTTCTTGTCTTCAGCAATGACACAGTACTGTAACTAAAAAAACTGCAGTCAAGATCCATTAAATAAAGCTAAAATACATTTAAGGAGGTTTTGCTACCTCATTTATTTTTCAATAAATTATGTACCTTGAGAGGTTTGACTAATAAAGCTGCAGATATTTGCCATGTTAAGATCATATTCTTCACTGGGATCCCATGAACTGTATAACCATTAATGGTTGAAGTGCAAGACATGCTACTGTACCTCTGAATAAAAGATGTAACAGGGGAAGTAATAACACTTACCTGATCATGGTGAATAGGGTAATCTACACCATTTTTTGAAATAGCTTCATGTTTTTGAATTGAAGCTGTTCCAAACACACATACACCAGGAACAGTTTTAGCAAGCTGGGTAGCTGCCCATCCAACTCCACCTGAACAAGTGGTGATATAAAGAGGAATTCACTTAAAGTCATAAACAACGATAATGATAATAATAATAATATTAATAATAATAATAATAATCATAATAATAATAATAATAATAGAGAAAATCAATGTAAGCCATGAGAGGAATTTAAACCTGCATTCTGAGAAATATCAAGCACGCGCATTTAACTACTAGACAACAATATGCTATAAGAATGTAACTTGGAATTCAACTGAATCCACATAGGTCCTGAGGTAGCGAGTTGTTACCAAGTACGATGATATGAACCAGCAGTTACGTAGCATCAGTACTGCAAATGTACTACACGTATGCTTTGGTGTGCTCTTTCTAGTAGGTTTTTCTCTTGGTTACTGTAGTGATGTTTTGATCCTCAGACTGTCCTTTCCTTCTGTTAGTTGACTAGATTCTCATGTGTGTCTCCAAATTGGTGCTCGTGGATCATTAGAGCCTGATGAGGTACTGAAGGTTTGACAGCTTTTCAATTTGAATCATAGGGAGATACAAAGCAGGACCTCACAAAATATGTGGAATGATGTTTATACATTTGTCTAACCTGACGTGATTTCGATGCCTACCTGCTGCACTATGTATGAGAACTGCTCCACCAGTTCTCAATCCTCCAAGGTGGAATAAAGAAAAATATGCAGTGAGATAATTAATGGTGAATGATGCTGCTACTTCAAAGCTCATGTTGTTTGGGACGACCATCAGGCTGTCTTCATCAACTGTGATCTGCTCTGCACATGCACCTGCTTTTGGGCAGTGTGCAACTACATGATCCCCTACCTGTTGACATTTAAAGTTTCAAAACATAACAAATAAGAATTTAAATAGGTTTAATTGCTTATTAGCACAAAACACGTTTCAATCTCTCAATATTTAACCTTATTAAAAAGCTTAGATATATCATATTAAACTAAATGAGTAATCAATAAATCTATAATAATAATAATAAATATATTGCACTGTATTTAACAGAGACAATATTATAGGAATAAATGGCAACAAATTTATAAGTGTATGATAAAAACACTATAAAAATTTATTTTACAAGTATATCTTTTATCTTCTTGGGGAGACAATAACTTTGGTGGTGTTGGCAACAATGCTCTGTGTACTCGCCAATCAAGAAGGTAGTTCAGTGTGTTTTCTGAAGCTCCTCTTCTGACCAAAGAATATTAAACAAATAATGTGCCATCCTATAGGGATGAGCTAAAGAGCCCTAAACTCTCTGTTTTCACAAACTGTTGGAGACTCCAACCAAGATTCATAAGCAAGCAAGCGAGTACTGTAATTATCAAAAATACTAAGCCTGGAATTCTTTAATTCACTGTATGTATTGCAAAATATTCAATAATTCCTAGATGCAGTCTCATTCAGGAAAAAAAAGCTAGCCTGGAGAGTAGAAGTACAGTAAAGTTAAGACCACTAACTCTAGACCAGACAAAGGGCATCCACTGCAAAGGCTTTATGATCTAGAAACAGCATTATGTAGACCAGAAGCTGCTAATTTGATGCAAAGGCAAACAGGTCCACCAGCAGATGGCTGGACATCTTGTAAAGCAGAGGAAGATGCATCCACTGGCCAATCCATTGAGATCCCACAGAAGGATGATAGACCATTCACAAATATGTCTGACACACCCTGAATGTGCACTGGCCTGAGAAAGAAATTCCAAGAAGTCAAAGTCGACCTATCCATAAAGTCCAATCCCAGGAAAAGTTCATGTTGCCTTATAGAAAATATGAGATCTCTACTGTGCCTGCTGAAAATGAAGGCACAGCAATAATAGTGTTGACCATGGTAGAGAGGCGGGGTGCTCTGACATCCAAGACAAAACCAACCAAATCTAAACCCTGAGAATTTAAGTCCAACAAATGCATGAAATTGTTATTGAAACTCATTATTTATTTCTATTACAACTAAGTCTAACAATCATAATAATGAAATTGAATTCTTCCATTACATTCGGATTTCTGGTAGAATGAGTTCCATTTGAGCAGGATTCCACTGCATGAAAAATTGTGAATGCTTTTAGTATCACAGTGATGGATATTTGTTGTTCAACAATTAATCATTAACGTTTTTAAACAATAAATAACATGGATATGATATTTTATTAAAAAGATTCTTCATCACTTACTAGTAATACAGTACAATACTTAAGAAAAAAGTTTATCATATAATTTTATGTACTGTGTAAGAAACTAATAATAATAATACTAAGTAATGCACCAATACTGTATTAGTAAAGAAACACTTGGCTTCCAAACACTTAAACCAATTTTACAGCTGGCCATAACAACCAGCTCAGCACTTACTGTGTAAAATCAAACCAAATGAGAACAAGCACTATCTATATTAGATATAAATATGTACTAGTACTGACAATTTGTGTACTAACATTGACTGAACCAACATTTACTCCAACAGCTGTCACAATGCCTGCACATTCCAATCCAAGAGTACATGGTGGCCGTATCTCAGGGTTCAAACCTTGACGAACATATATGTCATAAAAGTTCAGTCCACAAGCCTTAACTTCAACAGTAACTTGGTTTTCAGTGGGAGCTGGAGGGAGAGGGCCATCTTCAACCTAAAAAATATTGTAGTGAGAATTAATTTCTACATATTGGGGTATCATATGTATGTCATACGTACAGGACTGCAAGATCTCGGTAATCTGAATTCCAGTACAGTAACCTAAATCTTCGGGTAATCAGAATTAATTCATGCTCATCACCTGGTCTGACGACCAGGCCGCGGGGATGCTAAGCCCCGGAAACACTTCAAGGTAACATCGTTTTCAAGTAAATAACTGGGGTCAAGCAGGTAAATGGCATGAATGAGGTAAACAATAGAAATAACTGGGTTGTGATTCCTTTTCAATTTCTCCAACAAAATTTAACTGTACATTAATCTGTGCTAGATGTTTCATCTATAAAACTGCAATTGTATTTTATCTTAAGAACATTTTCATTTTATTGTTTTTGAATGCAAGCTCATAAAATCATATTTTGCATAAATTACACTAAATTTGACTAAACTGTAGAACAGAATAGTACAGTAGTGCATTCTAAACAAAGTACTCTGAGAAATTAAAGATTAATGAAAGTGTTGAAACTGTTGGAAAGAATTACAGTAATCAACATATATTTTTGTACACTTAATCCTGAAGAAAAAAACAAAAATATACCTTTCAAAAACATCAAAACATTTTTGTGCAGCAAATAAAACTAACACAAATTCCTAATTTGAGTAATATTAATATATTTGTTCATTGTAGTGTAACACAGGATTCAATTAATGAAACAAAACATAAAAAATATTATACAGTGTAATGAATCTTATATACATATAAACAAATATACATATCACAAATAAGAGCACCTAAAACAAAACAATAAAGTACTTTACATCAAAGTTACCCACTAGTACATCCGTCATGTGTGTTATGAACTTTTACATTGCCTTCTTGGTCAAATCTTTAAGGCAGGACAAAACATATTATAATCTTCACACCAACTGTTTGTCCTGACTCGTTACTCAGGCCTCACAGTCAAAAGTTTAATATATGAATAAATAGATCCTGCTTTTTTTCCCCTTTATTTCTGTACTGCACAGTACAGTATCTTGCTACCATAAATGCCTATGTACATGTTTAAATTTAAGTTACTATACATAGAATTACATGATAAACGCAGACATAATAAAGTAATAACAACAATAAGAGGCTGGCTAGATACATAGTATTCATATTATACATGATAAACGCAGACATAATAAAGTAATAACAACAATAAGAGGCTGGCTAGATACATAGTATTCATATTAAACACTTCAAAATTCAATGCAAATTTTCAGACCTTTTTTTTTTTTTTTTTTTTTTATTTTCACCACAATTGTCTAATTACAGCATATGAATTACATATGCTGTATGTAAGATTTACTAAAGAAAGATATGATACAATAATGTAGTTATTAATATCATTTGAAGCTTATTATCTCTTTAACACGAATTAATCATTTACTTACATCAGACCAGAAATAATGGACTATTATATCTACTGGCAACAAATCCAGAGCCCAAATTTCCTTAGATTATTAAATGTAATCATGTAAAATTTTATCTATCACCCTAAAATATTTGGAAACAAAATTATGTAGCTTAAAACAAAACATATTGTATATACAGTGGAACATTGGTTGACGAATGCCCCTCTTTATGAATTTTTCTGTTTAGGAGCTCAATTTCTTCGTAAAACTTGACTCGGTATACAAATAAAATAACACTAAAATGCCTCGCTTGGCGAGTTCGTTAATACACGTATGGGTTGACCGAGCGCGTGGTTCCTGGTGGTACAGGTGAGGCGCTTCAGTTTACTTAAAATGTAAGGAAAAACAAGATTTTTTGTTTTTTGTGTCTTTAGACAGATTCTTAGTAAGACAAGCAAGCAGTGAGCCACATCCAGGTCCTAGTGGTATGCCTGCAAAATGTAGGAGAGTACCCCAGAAAAGTCATCACTGTCTTATAATGGAAGGGCACTCCCCTTCAAAACACTAACACCTCTCCTCCTCCTCCCCTCCACACCGTCTTCCATACGATTACAAGAGTCCTCATTAATTTATAGGTAAGATATACTTGATTCTTGAGGTTATCTTGAGATGATTTCGGGGTTTTAGTGTCCCCGCGGCCCGGTCCTCGACCAGGCCTCCACCCCCAGGAAGCAGCCCGTGACAGCTGACTAACTCCCAGGTACCTATTTACTGCTAGGTAACAGGGGCATTCAGGGTGAAAGAAACTTTGCCCATTTGTTTCTGCCTCGTGCGGGAATCGAACCCGCGCCACAGAATTACGAGTCCTGCGCGCTATCCACCAGGCTACGAGGCTCCCGAGGCAATTGTACATGCTGCAGTACAAAATATTGGTAGTAGTATTTATAAAATGTATTTAAGTTAATATTTTGGGGGTGTGGAACGGATTAATTCTATTTACATTATTTCTTATGGAAAAATATGTTTCGGTTTACGAATTTTTTGGTTTACAAACCTTCTCTGGCAACAGATGAAATTCGAAAACAAAGATACCACTGTATATACTGTACTGAATATTGCACATAAATTTGGCAATCATGCATTACAGTACTGTATTGGGTAATACAATGCTAGGATAAAACATACTGTATTACAGTATTAAGATTAGTAAATACCTGTACTGCATTTTCACTTGCATAATAACTATACACTGTATGTAGTTGTCTCTTCTACATGACAAAAATACTCATACTTCACAATTGTTTTCAACATTCGAAGCCTGTGTGTAACACCAACCTCAGGATTATCAGCTATAGGTTACTACTGTACATACTAAAAAGTTATTTTAATTTATTTTCCCTCCTAATTATTTCACAAATATATACAATATACAGTGGCACCTCGATTAACGAGCAGCTCTATCTACGAGCATTTCGAGTAACAAGCAAGCCACTCACAGAACATTTGTCTTTACTAACGAGCGTTTCCGTTGGTTCTCGGACACCTTTTACGATAGTTTTGTTGTTGTTTCGCAAGACGAGTTTTCCACATGACGAGCTCGGTGCTGGAACAGATTAAGCTCGTTAATCAAGATGCCACTGTACTGTACATCAGCATCAAACATTACACGTTTGCTTTCGTCACATTTACAAAGCTCACATAAGTGGCACTTCAACCTGAAATCTATGTACTTAAATAAGTATCAAAAGGATGCACCAAGCCAGAAAGATTATTTATCTGATTATATATTACAGTACAGTATATAGACTTGTATAGAACCAAGTCTATATAAATTCTGGACAGTACTTGACAAGTTTTATTTCTTCTGATGAGACTTCATGTACTGTACACTGAACAGGTGTGCAAAATATGAATAACATTTGCACAGTAAATCTTCAAAATATTTCAATAAAAATTAATATAAGGTACAGTATATAGTTACAGTACAGTATATACTGCAATATATAAATTATACATAAAGTACATACATTAAGTATAATACTGTATATCTATTTAAGAATGCATTCCCAGACAACATGTAGATTTTTGTTAAGGATGTGGGAAAATAAGATAAAGTTCAAGACCAAGAGTTCCATTACACAAAATCCTAACAATATACTGTAATGTACATACCAGAATAAAGTTTTATAGCCAGATAGATGAAAAGCTTTCCAAAAAAAAAATCCCTGACAAAAGAAATATTCTGTTTCATAGTTACAAATCAATTCTCAAAGTAACACTTGTGGAACCTCAATGAACCCCAACCCAACATTTTAAAAATGAAAACCAGCCACAGATTAACAAAACAAAAAAAAAAAAAGACGCCATTGACTTTCATATTCCCCAAGCTTTTATTTAGGATAAAATTTACTACTAAAATTTTCTGGAACCTCATTAAATAGATTTACCAATAAAAACCACTTCATACAGGTTGTTTCATTAATACATAAATATTGAACACATCACATATTTTTCAAACTCTTTCGACCCCCACAAAAATATTTGGGCAATTGAAATATACGAGACATTCAAATGTTAAGCTTATAGAATGGTACACATTCAGGATTATGTGACTAACATAATTTTATTGTCTAATATCGGCATCATAATGCAAACAAAATACTGTATGTACGCAGGCAATGAGTCACAATAACGTGGCTGAAGTATATTGACCAGACCACACACTAGAGGTTATATCTTGAGGTTATCTTGAGATGATTTCGGGGCTTTAATGTCCCGCGGCCCAGTCCTCGACCGGGCCTCCATGCCCAGGAAGCAGCCCGTGACAGCTGACTAACTCCCAGGTACCTATGTACTGCTAGGTAACAGGAGCATCAGGGTGAAAGAAACTCTGCCCATTGTTTCTCGCCGGCGCCCGGGATCGAACCCGGGACCACAGGATCACGTGTCCAGTGTTCAGTCCGTTCAGCCACCAGCTCCCTAGGAGGGACGATGACATTTCGGTCCGTCCTGGACAATCGACTTGAGAATGGTCCAGGATGGACCGAAACGTCGTTGTCCCTTCACCTTCTAGTGTGTGGTCTGGCCAACATACTTTATGTACAAAAAAATATAATTTTTTCTATTTTTGTTATCCTTTCAATAGCTTTATTTCCATTTACAACCATAACATATATTCATAAAACACTGAAACCAAACCACACATCAGAAGATAAGGAAACGATGACATTTTGGTCTGTCCTGGACCATTTGTCATGTTCCATTTGTCATTTGTCATGACAAAAAGTTGTCATCTCTCCATCTTCTGATGTGTGGTTTGATCATCATATCTTCAGCCATGTTATGACTCCATCTTCATAAAACATTCATTAAACTGTTATATATTTAACATTATTACTGTACATATATTTATTATACTGTACTGTTAATCATTTGGGTTAAATCATAAATTTCTTAATCTGCTTTTCTATTTACTGTACAGTATTATGTTTTCATAATTATCATATTTATCTATAGTCTGAGTATGGAAAAATCTACATACCTTACAAGTTATAATTGTATTATGTTGAGCCTCTTGTTTTTAGATCATTATAATTTATA